CTTCCCACATATTGTAAAAGACTGAAGAGCACAATCTCTTCAAACAATCAAAATCAAAGTCATCCAAATTGTGATTTTCCCGTTGCTTTTGTCACATCTACGAATTGTTCTTGGTGATAAAATGATTTTACATGATTTTCCCAATATGATTTTTTTTGTAAAAAACTTTGTAAGTTTTATTAAATATAATTGTCTTTTTTTTTTTTGCACGAGCTATTTTCATCTCTAAATTTTTTGCCCCGTCTAGTGTTTGGGCCTAGCTCCGCCCCTGAAGTAAATTAAGGCACATATTGTCTATGTTCCCTTTTGTTTTTTATTGTTTTCCTCTAAATGGTCCAAACTCTTCAATTAAAATTGCGGTATTTGTAATAAATGTGATTCAACTATATTTTGAAATTCTGCAAGCTTTTGTTAAAAAAAAAAAAAATCAGGAACTCTATCAAAGGTAGGATTATACAATTCTGATTATATCAATATAAAGTAATTAATGTAGTTAGTTTCAGATTGTGTCATTCCTTCAGTTTCCAAGGAAACCAAATAATTCGCCACCACTAATTGAACCGTATTTATACAGTAATCACAATAATTTTTCTTGATAATTAGCAAAGAATAAATTTGATTACTAGTATGCAAGGAATACTTTATTGTTACATAGACTAGTAACATGTCTATCTTATGCCACATTCCCTCGAGATACGTTGGCAAAACCATACAATAGAAAAGCACACTCATTTGAGTCAATTTTCTCAGAGTAACCGTTTTGCTTGAAAAGAACCATTCATGGTTTTTCTTAATTTTATACACTGGATTATGGTAGTAAATAAGAGGCCTAAAAAGTCTTGGAATAACGTTGCTCGGGTATTCAACGCCGATGATGTCATGTTGTTTTTAGTTCCATCGCACAAGACTTTAAAACGGTCCGGCAGTTCAGAAAGGGTTTTGGTAACGTACAAGACTACTGAATACACTATATATATCTTCTAAAAAGCCGTGCTTCATTTATACTTAATTGAGCTAGCATTCGAAATCTGCGATATATTAGCTTTGCCTTCATTTTCTTTGTGGAAAAATGGTAGGATCAAAATGGAGTACTGGTTTTATGATAACAATGATAGCCATTCTGGGATTATCAACTTCCAGGGTGAAAGGTGAAGACTCAATGTTGATCTTTCAATTTTCATTATAAAACACAATGGCGGAGGGTTTGATCTTTCAATTTTCAACTTTCAATGCATAAAACTCGACGGTCATTCAGTATCGCGGAAGAAGAAGATTTGAGGAAACCATTTCCCATTAAAAAAAAAAAAAAAAAAAAAACAAAAAGCCCTAGGCCAAATGGACATGATATCATACAAACGGACAGCTTTGTCCCACATCGATCTTTTGTGGGTCGGATGCCTTGCATACGTATGTTTTCCTTTCGGCATATGGTTGCCCGGAGGAGAGTAGTGGGATTACATGACAAACATGCCTTTAAGAGGCCCAAGTCTGCACAAGTAGAATGTTCCTTGGGGTATGGACAAATGTCATCGGAGCGGACTTCCGCCCCGAATTCACCCCTGACTGGACGGGCAAATTTTTTTCTTTTCCTTTTTTTTAACCCCGAATCAATGAATGAATGATTTTGTCTTAATTGTTTTTTATGAAAAAAACATATTTATTTCATTAGGAATAATCAATAAATGATTTCCATAACATTCATTTTAACTTTTAAGTAGGGGATGGATTTTTTTTTGAAAAAAGAATTCGTTTTTTCTCTTTTATTTTTTGGGCTGGTGAAACTACAAAGAAGAATTTTTTTTTTCTTTTCTTTTTTTTTTGCATATTTGCAAACTTGAAAGAAAGAAATTTTAATAATTCCTTCGTTCTGAAGTTGTTGCCCAATATGCATTTTCTTTTAATTTTATTACTAAAAATAAAAATAGAAATTGAACAATAATTTCAGGACGAAGCATAGTTTTCAAAATTCCGATCCGGATCTTAGAATCTTATGATCATACGATTCGGAATTAGGAAATCGATCATGGATCTTATGAAATCCTTCTTTGTATTGAGATCTTATGGAATCCTTTAAAATCCCAATCTGGATCGTAGAATCCTACAATCCAACGATCCCATTGATTTTGTCGATACTTGTACAAGTTGTTGATTTTCTATAAAAAAAAAAAACAGAAAATGATTAGAAAAGATATAAAAGTTAAAATTTTGAGTTAATGATACGTACGTGGGCACTAGTCTATTTCTCTTTTATAAAATCGAACAAGAATTGAATAAATAAATTGAAACTCACAATTTCAGAATTATTATAATATTTTAAATAGTTATGATTCCACCGATCTGATCCCACCGATCCAGAATCCGATCCGATCTTGAGACGCCAAAACGATCCTATGTAAAATCCCGATTTCGAAAACATTGGGACGAAGTGAGCATACAATTACTTAAATACACAACATTTACGAAGTAGGCACAACCCCTTACTACATCATTATTCATTAGATAAACCAAGATTTGACATTGGCGGAGGGAACCCAACTAGTCCCATCCACCAATGTTAAGTCATTGATAGTGTCTCTTCTTTCCTGAAACTAGCTAGACCCTTTTTTAAGGCATTCCTGAAACTATCTTCCATTAGCAAATTAAGAAGTTCTTTATTCTCTAATCTCTTTCAAAATAATCTAAAATTAAGTTTCAAGTCCTCGGCAAAAGTTTGTGGTTTGTAGTATTCCATTAACAAATTATAAAATAAAACTTTTACTTCCCAGAAGAGACCTACTTCGTGACTCAAATGATAACTCATTAGTCTTAGTAAGTTATATTGATATATGCTCGCTTTTCATCATGGCCTTGAGTTGTTTAACTCAAACTTTCACCTGTTTCATTTCTTTCCACCGCAAAAATAAGAAAAACGCCTAAAATGCTACTTTCTTCGTTAGCATGAAACGTCAACGATATCATATTCCTACTACAATCTTAACATGGATAGTGTCTCTTCTTTCTCTAAATAGTTTAATTTTAGGCTACAATCACCGTTTCAATTTTTGCGATTATGATGCTTTCAAAAGTATAATATTCTAATCTATGGTTTGAGGTCACTTTAAGAAAAATATACAAATATCTAGATATTTCATTTTAGAAACCTTTTTAAAAAAGAATCCAGACTTCTTATTCTTTTCTTTTTTTTAAAAAAAGAAAAACATACATATGTGGAGCATAAATATTCTGAGCTATTTTATACTCCCCTGTCGTAAACCATAATTAGTTCACTTTGAATTTTCAGATTTGTACTATTTTTAGTAAAAAATTAAAAATTCAACGTGAAAAATATTTTCAAACGGAGGTATATAATACAAACTGCTGAAATACGTATTAACTGAAATGAAGAAAACAAAAGAAAAATAAGTTGTACACATTCGGAAAACTCAAAAATTGAAATTGTACTATTTGATGGTGGTTTTTATCAAAGTTGTTAGTTGTTACAATGATGAAAAGTAAACTATCATGACAGTGCGCTTTAATTTGATGGTTTAGAAAATTCGTGATCATAAAATTCTTTTAAGTTGTTCGTCGTAATTAAACATTTCCCAAAATTAAATTTTCTCCTTAGCAAAATAAATGAAATACAGGAGCTGAGATTTTATTTTCCTAAGTTAGCTAGTGAGATCATTAATATTATTCCCGCCATTTCGACAAAAAAAAAAAAAAGAAACAAACAAGAAGAAGAAAGAAAAAAATGAAAGACGAGAAGAGAAGAGAAGAGAAGATCAAGAAGAAAGCAAATCTCTTGTAAATTACATTGAATTGATCATAATATTTATTAACAATGTTATAGTTTATCAAAACTGTAAATAATACTCTATCCGTTCCATAATTATTGTCCAGTTTGTCAAAAAAATTTTGTCCTAAAATTATAGGTGGAGTTATACATATACCCTCCCAAAAGAAAATACTAAACTGAAGCTTCTTTCTCCATGGACTCCCTACGCATACAGTAGAAATGAAAAACTCACCGTTGTAGCAGACACTGGCCATTCTCCGGTGGCTCCAAGCGGCGGTGCGGATGAGATGGCCGGTTGATTGTCGGCAAGAAATATGAAAAAGGAATATTGAGAAAATCAAAGTTGAAACCGCAGTCGATGGCTTCAAAACGGTAAAATAGAATCTTTCATTTAGATTGGATGAGCATTAGATTGAAACTCAGATTAACAAGTTTCTCCAAATTCGAATCAATGTATCCGAAAATTTAATTCGATTGGCACAAGCGGTTGCTCATATTTGAAGAACTCTGATCTGATCGATCTAAAAATTTTCCGTTCATCTTCATAGATCTTGAAACTTAGAGTTAGAAGTTTCTCCAATTTGAAGTTCATTTGAATTGGTTCGATCATGGCTGGGATCTTGACTAAAGAAAAAGTGAAGCATTGTTATTTTTGTGTTCTAAAATTGATTTTTGGATCTGGGAGTCAAAGTGAAAAAGAAGTGAAGAAGTTCTTCCCCAAAAGCTTTTGCCGGTTAACCATTTATGTAATTAGGGGTATATTTGGAAGTTTATGGCAAAATTTGGTTGAGTTTGATTAAAAATAAAATCTTGTATTTTAACAAAAGTGGATGATAATTTTGGGACAGAGAAAGTACTTTATTTATCACAAAATTTATTTTGCAATTTAGATTTTCATTCTCATAGAATTTATGTTAAAAATGAAAATCAAAATTGGACAATTATTTCAATATGAGATCAGAGGGAGTAAATAAACAAATAAAATTGAAGTCTGAGAGAGGTTTATGGATCGTACGTGATTCTTTGTTTTACTGGGGAATCAATTCAATATGCATGATCCATAGAGAGAGGTGGTAGCTAAGAGTTCCTTCACGAAAACCTAGAAACACCATTTTCATGCAACTGGTAAGGTAGTAATTCCCCATCCCAACAGGTCAAATAACTTCACACTTTGCCCCTATATATACTTAACCCGTTTTCATCCTCCTGATTCACATATACAGTAGAGTAATTATCAGTACTTCAATAACAAATCTTCATAAATACTCCTCCAAATTAAAGTTTTTTTTTTTAAGAGCAATTAAGACGAAACAATGGGTGCAGAATCCAAGTGGGTTTTATGCACTCTCGTCGTTCTGCTAGCTGCGAGCAGCTTAGCACAAGCTGCAGAACAAGAAGCAAATAGTAATGCCGATGCTAATATGAACATGAAGGCGCGCCGCCTTGGTGGCCTCGGCGGTGGCGGGTCGGGGCACGGAGGAGTTCAGGGCTGGGGCAGCGGTGGCGGCCATCTCGGGTGGGGCGGCCATGGTGACGGCGTCGATCACGGAGCAGGAGATTGGGGAAGCTGGGGGAGCTTCGGCCACGATATTAATCCCGGTCACGGTGTTGGATACGGCGGTACAGGGTGGCCTGGGGGCTACGGATACGATTATCCATATGGTCCAGGGAGCGGATATGGATCGGGTTGGGGCTACGGAGGTGGTCAGGGAACCGGATACCTGTGCTACCCGGCTAATTGTCCAACTTGCCATGCACAAAGCTTCGTCCTCACAAAAACCGTGATCCATCCCGGTGCCGATCGTTCTGACAACGCTGGCAAAAATAATGCCGCCGCCGGAGTTTCGTCCGAATCTAATAACAACAAGAACAACAACAAAAAGACAGGGATTTGGTAGAGCTGCGATGAAAAACGGGAAGACAAACAATTAGAATACTCCACCATATGTATGTGATAATGTGGGAATGGGAAGTATACAGTATACACCTTGATGATATATGGTATTATACTACATTGTAAGTCGAATGTAACATGTACTATATGTACTACTGTATATGGTGAACCTTAAACTTAAACTGCGAAAAATGCCGGCTAATCCGTAGGCGGGGGCGAATTATAATAATTTGTTGTGTCAAGAGTCGTGAGTTTGATCGGTTGTTGTCGATTATTACTATATTAATAAAACAGTGTCTTCTACCTATAATTTTATAATTTGTTTACATTTTGGAATTTGATTTGCGACTTGGCTAGCTTCTATAGTGCCCTCCCAAGTTTCTCTTGCGTGGGATCGCTTTTGGGGCCTAGTTATAGACATTTTCCATCATGTAATTAATTGAAGGACACAATATCAAATCATATAAATTAATGAATTATTATTAGTTAAAGGAACCTTAATTGAGATGCGTTGAAATTAAAATGTGAATCGAATAGAATTGTGCATTTTTTGCATGTTACATATTCTTCCATATCATCACAACCTGTATTACTAATAATAAATCGAAGCTGTGGAATGCTTTTGCTAATGTTGAAATAAGGAAATTACAATATCATCCTCATTGTGATTAATAAATGTGACACGTTATAAGTTCTATTCATTTCACTATTATTTTTTATTGGCCACAGGTAATCTCCTTGATGTTTTCTAAAATGATGTCAAATGATAATTGGGTGAAGCTCCCACAAGCCTTTACAATTCACTGAAATTTGTTTACTCTCTTCTATCTTAGCAAAAAGAACGAAACACAAAAGCAGATTCTTGCAAAATGTAAATAATAATAATAACATATAAGACTGGAGAGGTCAGGTGATTTTGTGGTTTACGTTGCCTGAATGAATCCATGCAAAAAGCATGATCAATAAGACGTGCATTATAGGAACACTCTCAAGATGTGCATTGGGGATGAACCTTCCGAAGCACATGCTTGTCATCAACAATTGAATAGTGCAATCAAGAACAAAACTACATCATTAATCAAAGGGGTTATGGTGGAGTGGTAGGTACTCCTCCACCCCTAACTATAAATCGAGGGTTCGAACCTCGCCATAGACATGCAGTAATCTTCAATCCTTTGGTCAGCTCTCCCATCCATCAATGTGCCTAACATGAGCGAGCGGGATTAGTCACCGTTGCTGACGGTTGACACCCTACAATATGCAAAAAAAGAAAAAAGCTACATCAAGAATGGTCAACAAACACTTGATTGAAGAAATAACGAAAAAAACCTGTGTTTTGAAAACCGGACCAGAGAGCGAACCGTTAGCTCTACCGGGTTACTGGTTTATTAGTTTAGATCGGTTAGAACGCTCAAAAAAACTGGTAATGTCATTATGACGTAATAAATAATTTTAAATATTATAATATATTTTACAACATAAATACCGATATTTATATTACTTGACAACTTAAAAATAGTTTGTATTTACTCATTAAAAAGGATTTCTATCATTGCGTTCATATGGAAATATTAGACTGATAATAGGTCAAATAGTCAAAATATATGAAAAATAGAACATAGATTTGAAAAAGTTATTTAGCTAATTTATAAATTGAAAAGAGAGAATTAATAGTAAATATCCACAATTGTCAGCATTTCTATTAAGTTAAAGTTCATGAAATATTGCATCATTATAATGCTTATATTTTAATGCTTAATAAGTAAGAGTTATTATGGATCTTTGAGTTGCTAGGGTTTCTCTCTAGGAGAGTCTCTCTGAGTGTCAGTCATCGCAAGTAGGGTTCTTTCGTAGCTAGGGTTTATACCACCTTTCAGCCACTTTTTCTTCGTCTCCTCAGCACACACCACGTTCCTTCTGGCATAAATCTGTGTTTTACAATACAAAAAGTTTTGTTTTTATTCTCTGCCTTTTGGTTTTCCTTTTTGGGTTTGTTTTTGTGACAGGTTACGCACGCCACCTTCCCGTCTCTGCCGTCACTCCTGATTCGTTTTATTGTGGTCAATTCCGGATCTACCAATGGAGGCGGATTTGGAGAATCCTTTCTCTAGACTCTCGTTGGATCAGAGGGAATCTCGCATTGTTGAGCCTGAGAAGAACGCAACCCCAGATTATGACCATGAGAAGGCGTTGGTTGGCAAGCTTCTCACAAACAGAATTCTAGGACATAATACTATTGTGCAAAAGGTTCGCAAATTCTGGAATCTCAAGGGAAACCTCACCACAAGTGCCTTGGGGGACAACACGCTCCTTTTTTGTTTCAGCAACCTATTGGACAAAAAGGGGGTGTTAGCAGGCGCACCGTGGTTCGTAGAAGATCACTTGTTGATTCTGAAGGAAGACACTGCTAATGTTATCGCACAAAACCATCAATTCACACACTCTCCTCTTTGGGTCCAGCTTCACGGTTTACCCGTCGGCCTTATGTCAAAGAGTTTTGCGACAACGGCAAGCAACAATATAGGTTGGTTTATGGAGGTCTTTTGCGATAGTGAGGGGTCTTGCATAGGACGTTTCCTTCAAATCAAAGTAATTATCGATGTCCGTCAGCCGCTAATGAGGGTGACCACTGTTAATAATGATGGCCTTCCTTTGAGGATCAAACTTCGATATGAAAGAATGTCAGATTTCTACTATTTTTGTGGAGTTATAGTCCATGAGCACGGCAAGTGTGATCTCAACTTTGCTTCAAATACATCATCCTCGGGTCCCTTCGAGTTTGGTCCGTTCTTGACAGCAGATCCCTTTAGGAACCCTTTCCCGGAGAAACGCTCCCAAAGCAGCCGGAAAGAAAGGCCGATTCCAAGTGTTCCTCCAAAAACAGCTTCCCCAACATCGAACCATAACACTGCAAAAACCTTTGCCCTTCAAGGACAACATCCAAATCCTCCTTCCCTAAATCACCTTCAACAAAATCCTCCCCAAACCCTTGCGTTACACAAATCAGTCTCATCAAACCTTCACATTCTCAGCGGGACGTTGTTTCCACCCGTTGATCGAAACCTTTACCCGACAGAAACCCGAATTCATCACTCACATCACAGCCATTCCCTTCTATCCCAGTTCTGCCTGACATTTGTCTCCTCTCAAATCCACTCAGAACTCCTCCAAGCTCTATACCGCCGTTTTGAGTGTCACAACAACCGAACATATTCTCGTGTCACTTCATCCCTGCTAGCGAAGCCAAAGTCCTCACTGAAGCCTCCTCCAAAGAAACCGCAAAAAACATAACCTAATCTACTACGATGATGTCTCCATACTCGCTTTTCTCCCACCAGTCCTGAATCCTTCGAAATCATCGGATGAAAACCTCGGTCTAGTGACCTACCAGCCTCCAAAAGACTATTCGGAACTTTCTGAGCACAATGAATCCCTACGAGGTGCGTACATCTCCCCACCAGAATCACCCCCAGGCTCCCCACCAAGACAAAATTTTCCCTTGAATGTTACGGGACCTAAACTGGTTGCCTTAATTAAAGCCAGAATGCAAGCAGCTGCTCAAGATCAAACCCCACCCCTCACCTTTGATCACGCCCACATCGAGCCCCAACCCATTGTTCAACATCCCATCTCCCCACCGGGTTCGCCGGCAGCCCAACCAAATGACCACACAGACCTCCCTTCAAGTCCTTTTCTTGTGAACGTACCAATGCAAGCTGACTCCCCTCTCAAAAGGTTTGAGCAGAAGGTGAAGATTCAGCATAGAAGCAATCGACCCATCTCTGATTTTCTAGGACTCCCAGGTAGCAATTTGAAACGTAAGCTGCTAGCTGAGAATGAACTTGTGGAAACTATCCCAGTGGAAATTATATCGAAGAAGCTCCGATGTGAAGTCCTTGATGAACAACTTTCCCCCTCAGAAGTCTTGGCAGACATCTCAGTGTTTTCACCAGCGGCCAGGTTTGGTGATGAGAGCCAACCCCGCCGACAGATATGAGTATCTTAAGCTGGAACTGCTGGGGGCTTGGGAACCCTCGGACAAGTCGAAAACTAAGGAAGCTTATCCGTTCTAAGGCGCCCCTTTTAGTCTTTCTATCTGAGACTAAATGTAATTTTTCTGTTGTTGATGCTTTCAATTATTTAGTTAGTTGCTTTGGTGTTTCGATTAATGCAATTGGTAATTCTTGTGGTTTAGCTTTTTTATGGAGAAAAGACGTATAAGTGACAATAAAAGCTTTTTGTAAGCGCTACTTTGATTTGGAGGTTTTTGGTTTGATTCGCTGTGTCGTGTTACGGGCTTTTACGGGGAACTGGAAACATTTCTTAGACGAGCAGGTTGGTCTTCTTTTGTATCGAAGTTGGGACCCTCTGATCTACCTTGGATTTGCTTTCAATGAGGTGCTAACTCATACAGAATACCAAAGTGTTAGACGACGTCCGGAGAGTCAGCTTGAGTATTTTTGCAATGCTCTTAATGCTTACGGGTTGGAAGATATGGGCTTTAAAGGCTCTCGGTTTTCTTGGGGTAGAAATTCAGTTTAGCCTTTAAGACAAAGGGCCAGGCTTGATCGAGCTGTATGCAATTCCTGTTGGAAACAAGTGTTTACTTGGAATGTAATCCATCACGTCCCCACTCATGTTTCTGATCACGACATCCTCCACATTTTGTTCCGACGATCAGCTTTGGGGATGAATACCAGTCACAACCGTCGGCCTTTCTGGTTTGAAGCTTGTTGGATTAAATCTTCGGAGTGCGAGAAAGTAATCCGGGAAAGCTGGCGAGATGATATTGAGTCGACCCTTGCAAAAATGAAGTCATGCGAGATCGGCCTTCTTAAATGGAGCAAGAATTCCATTCGCAACATTTCGAAGAAGATTGAAGAAACGAAGGAAGAGTTGCACCGCTTAAAGGCTGGCTTGATTACTGAGACAGTTAAAATCCGGATAACCGAATTGTCGGAGAGACTTGATTCGCTACTAGATCAGGAAGAGCTGCGATGGAGACAACGTGCGAAACAGCATTGGTTGCAGGAGGGGGATCGGAATACCCGTTTTTTCCACGCTCACTCCTCCAAGAGAAGGGAAGTAAATCATATCTCGGCTCTTCGCAATAATGAGGGAGAATTACATAGTGATCAGGCCAAGGTAGAGAGCATAATTTCTAAATATTTTATGGAGATCTTTTCGGCATCCAATATCCCGGAGCATGACTTGCGGCATGTTATAAACAGAATCAGGCCAAAAGTGACTGCAGAGACGAATGAGCGGCTGGCTAGACCTTTCACACCGGCAGAGGTAAAAACCGCTATCAAAGCTATGCATCCTTCTAAATCCCCTGGTCCTGGTGGACTAAGTCCTGTCTTTTTTCAAAAATTCTGGCACATAGTAGGTAGTGATGTCCCTTTTTTCGTTTAAATTTTTTTAAATAAAGGGTCGTTTGTAAATACCACAAACTACACACACATCGTTCTTATTCCAAAAGTCCCAAACCCAGACAAAATGACACAGTTTCGCCCATCAGTTTATGTAATGTGGTCTATAAAATTGCATCCAAATGCATTGCCAACAGGCTTAGGAACACACTTCCTTCTGTCATCTCTGAGTCACAATCATCTTTTATTCCAGGAAGGTTAATCACTGATAATGTTCTTGTAGCATATCAAACTCATCATTTTATGAAAAACAGGGTGTCAGGCAAGAAGGGCCTTATGTTTGTCAAACTAGACATGAGTAAAGCTTTTGACAGAGTAGAGTGGCATTTTATACTGGAAGTCATGAAAGCTATGGGTTATTAGGAATCTTTTGTTGAGAAGATAAATAAGTGTATCTCGACCACCTCCTTTTCTTTCTTGTTGAATGGATGTCAGTTTGGTTCCTTGGTGCCAGAAAGAGGTCTGAGACAGGGAGATTCCCTTTCTCCTTATCTTTTCATCATTTGTTCGGAGGTTTTTTCATTAATCTTGTAGGACCTCCAAGCCGCAGGAAAACTCCATGGCATTTGTGTCGCGGATACAGCCCCCACGATCTCCCACTTGTTCTTCGCAGATGACACACTGCTGTTTGGTGAAGCTTCAAAAGAGGAGGCGCGACACCTAAAATTTGCAATTTCTCTTTCTGAGAAGGTCTTTGGCCAGAAGATAAATTATGATAAGTCAGGAATATACTTCAGCCCCAACACACCCCCGGCTGTTTCTTCGGCCATTTGCTCCGTCTTGGAAATACCACAGGTCTCGGTCCATGGAAAATATCTCAGCTTACCGACTTTTATTGGCAAGAGCAAAAGGGATGTTTTTGGGGAGATCAAAGACAGAATTTGGAAGAGAATCCAGGGTTGGAAGGAGAAAAACTTAACCAAGGCGGGAAAAGAGGTCCTCATTAAATCAGTTATTCAATCTATCCCCACCTATTCTATGTCCTGCTTTCGTATTCCCAATTATATTCTGGATCAAATTGAGACCATGATTGCAAATTTCTGGTGGCGTGAAAAGGCAGGCTCGCGTAAGATGCACTGGCTAGCATGGGAGAAGCTAGCACCCAGCAAGGCAACAGGTGGTCTTGGCTTTCGGAATCTCTTTGCGTTTAATCTTGCTATGCTGTGTAAGCAGGCATGGCGACTAATTAATACTCCGTCCTCACTGTTAGATCGAGTGCCTAAAGCTAGATAATTCTGGTCTTCGTCCTTTTTTTGAAGCGGAGCTTGGATCACACCCGTCGTGGTCCTGGCGGAGTATTCTGGAAAGCCGCCAGTTGCTTATTTTGGGCGCACACAGGAAAATTAAGTCAGGCCAGCAGACGCGTATATGGTTGGATCCTTGGCTGCCAGGCTCGCCGGATTTCCGAGTTCAAAGCTCCTGTTCTCTGCTGCATCCGACAGCGAAGGTGAGTGAGCTCATTAATGGGGCGATTGGAACGTGGATGGCTCATTTAGTACGTTCCATTTTCGAACAAAAGGAGGCGGATCGTATTCTGGACTTGACTCCAGGAGCTTGGGACCAGCAGGACGTGTGGCATTGGACCTTTACGAAGAGCAAGAAGTTTTCAGTTCAGTCAGCTTATTATGCCGCGTTAGAGTCAGACTTCTCCCCTCTTCCAGCAAATCCGACAGCAACGGCGCCAACCTCACCGTCTCCAATCTGGAAACGTATTTGGAAGCTCCGAGTTCAGCCTCGCCTCCACCATTTTCTATGGTTAGTCTGCAATGAGACTCTCCCCTCACCTGAGAACCTCAATAGGCGGCATCTCCATCAACCGGCTGAGTGTATTTAATTGTAAAGGCATCAACGCAACCACGAAACACCTCTTCTTCGACTGTCCGTTCGCTGCGGAGGTTTCGCATATCTCGTCCATGAAGAATATGGTTTGGCAGCATGAAAAGGGAAACGGATGTGACTGGATCAGAACTCTCATTACATCGTTGGAGACGAAGGACGCCGAAATCATGACCACACTTCCCAATTGCATTTGGTTCCGCCGCAACAAATTGCTTCATGAGCAGGAAACATTGAGTCCAACATCTATTGTCTTAATGGCGGGCAATATGAGACGGAGTTTTCTTGATTCGAATTCTTGGCCTGAACGCTTACCAGTTTCGCTGCACGCTCACTCTCTTTTGGAAAGGCCTCCGGACGGAATCAAAATTTATTTCGATGGGGGAATCTCTCGCCTCCACCGCTGTGCAGGAGTTGGAATTTTGTACGAAGATTTGGATGGACATTTTGTCAAAGGGAGATCAAAAAAATTCAAAGGAATATCCGACCCTGAAGATGCCGAAGCTTTGGCATTGAAGGAGGCTTTGCTGTTCGTGACGGAGTATAATCTAGAGCAATTCTCAATCTGTGGCGATGCTCTGAATACCATTGTCAAAGCTCAAATTGTGGTATCTCATGGTGTCGACTTGAATCCGCCTATGGAATCGATTCGTACATTGCTTACAAAGGTTCATTCTCTTGGGATTTTTTGGATCCGTCATTGTAATAATAGCATAGCACATGACCTAGCATCTTTAGCGAAGAATGGTTCCGATGAATATACCAACTGGCTTAGTATGCCAGTATCTATCAATCAATCGCAGCTGTACGATTTCCAGCAGTCGTAATGAAATATCTCTTTTTATCAAAAAAAAAAAAATTATAAGTAAGAGTTATTAGACCATGGTGATGACATGTTTGAAATGATATATTTTAAAACCTTTAAGAACCATTGTGTTAAAATAAAAAACTATAAGGTTCAATATGCAATTATGTCAATAACTAAAGTCAAAAACCTATCTCCTCTCTCATTCTTTCTCCCCA